TGTAGCGATTCTAAAATAATGAATATTAATAGAATATGGTTCAATTATTACAAGATAATCTTCTCCCTCAATCTTTACAGCAATCATACCACAATCAACCTTCTTCTTAGGACCATCCTTAAGATTAGTAGGTACAACTTTCCTCCATTTGAGAGTATCAACATTTAAACTGTACAGATCATTATCATCATAGCCACCACGTCCTCCATAATAGAATATCTCATTCCCAATAGCAGCAGCTGCATAGTTCATGATACCCAGAGGAGGATCACCAGTGGTAGGTTTCTGTTCCCACCTACCAGTCGGAAGGTGAAGTACCTCCACAAATGATGAATCTCTTCTCTCTATCTCAATATTGTGTTCTTTAGGATGGTCATCTTTCTTCCCACCCCACGTATAAAGACAGTCTCCTACTATTACTGTAGAATGACTATGTCTCTCAGCAGGTTCATAGTCTATATAATAGCACAAACTATCAGTCAAACAATATTTATCATAAATTATAACTTATTAACCTTTTACAGTGGCCCTGGGGACTGCTTTTGCTAACTTTAGAGCTGCCATTTTGCTTGGGATACGCCTTGTAGGTGTGGCCAATACTTACAAGCCACGCCCAATTATTTAAACAAGCCCCACCTATTACTTTTTTCTGCAACCTTCTCTGTATCTTGTAATTGGTTCTAGCTTTTGCCAGTTTCTTCCAGACATGAAGGGGTTGATGGTTATGAACGAGGCCACTGATATTGCCTTCTATTCGGTTGACTCTCAGCTCCGGGCACACCTGCACAGGAGAATGGAAATACTGGAAAACTCAATTGGACAAAGAGTGGGGGCAGAGAGAAAAAGAAAAAAGATTATTATATTTATTTATTTATTGCAGGAAGAAGAGGAAGATTTGAGAGGATTACTGACTACCTTCTTTGCTCCTCTCACCACATCCTTTGTATGTTACACTGGGTCAACATGACTGACTCCTATTCCCCATTCACTTGTACATATTCTCAATTTATCATTTCTTTAAAACCCAAGCAACTTATGAATATACACATTATAAACATTGCTCTAATTTTATTGGTATTAAAATGGTCTTAATTTTTAATGCTATACAGTATATACTCAATGAATTATTGTGGGAATATTTTTTGTGAATACCAAAATTTAAACATGCAAAATTTTAAGTTTATCTACCTACTTTAAACATACATACATGCATAGAATGTATTGCAAGTGTTAAGTATGGGGGAATTTCTTGTTTTATACAATTTATTGATTTGTTGTTGAGATTTGTTTGTTTTCTTATTCTCTTAACAGAACGTGCTCACCTCAATGAAGAAACCTCTCTTCTCCATTACTGCTGACGATAACTTTTTAATTGTTTTTAAAAAAGTAAATTGTAACTCTTTTTATTAATATATTATTATCATCTCTTTCTCTCTCCCTCCTCTAGTTCGGTGAACATGTCTTTGTGGCTGTCAATGGCGACGGTTCTGAGTCTGAAGACTTTCTTGTTCGTAAACTTCATGTTTTCAACAGAATCATTGGACTATTGTATGGACCAGTACTGGGAAGGTACATATGACAATACTGTACTAGTATATTGTAGTATATTATTGGTATGCTTAGTCTGCATATTGCAGTATATTATTAGTATTCTATAGTATAATTTTAAACTGAAATCAGTTACCAGCATTATTATTATTTATTTATAAAA